GTACAGCTGGAGTACAGTTGGAGTACAGCTGGAGTACAGTTGGAGTAAAGTTGGAGTACAGTGGAGTACAGGTGGAGTACAGTGGAGTACAGGTGGAGTAAAGTTGGAGTACAGGTGGAGTACAAGTGGAGTACAGTTGGATTATAGCTTGAGTATAGCTGGAATCTATCCAGACTACAGCTGTAGTATAGCTTGCGTACAATTAGACTGTAGTGCAGTAGGAATGGTACTTTAAATTTTCTTTATAGTTAAAGTAGCGCACTTTAAGCTTTAGCTTTTATAATTAAAGTGACCATTCTTTACACTAACTTTAAACCTTTTAAAGTTAAAGTACACGTTTTCCTATGAAATTAAACTTTTCTTAAACATTTATAAAACTCGATAAACATTCATGAAAGTACCCATAATTCTCCATGAGTCGTGTGACGAGGCCATCCATAGGTGGTACTATGTAAAAAACGTATTCATAGGTCATTCACTATACAATAGTGGTGCTATCCATAAGCCACCAACTGCGATATAAGAGGAAGAGGTTTCAATACTTCAAGTACTACTATATAACTCGGTACTTATCGGTTATCAGCTACTATATAATTGGGATATCGATAATCTTTCAATGGTTACAGAAAGTGTGTATTCATTAACATTCGTGACGCTTATTGTAGAGAAGCTCATAAATGGTCATATACTACCTAATGCGGGTACTCATTTCTGTCTAGAAACTACTAAAGTGAGCTTTTGTAGTTCATCACGAACTGTTTAGAGGTAGTTTACATAAATCCTATGGAACACAGACATTATTGTTCATATTTCTTCAGAGCTTTCAGAGAGAAAGTAGTGAGCGAAAGGCAGCTCTTTGATGTTCGCGTGTAATTATCACGTACAGGACCTATTGTGGTCGTTGAATACTCGTTCTGTTCATTTACAGTTTATCAAAATCACGATAATCTTTTAATCCAATTGAGATCACGCTACATCGTCTCTTCATCGGGTTCTGTTTTACAATTTTTGTTAGTTTATTCGTATTATATTATTTATTTTATACATTAGAATAGTATCTTTCAAATAATTTCTGTATCTTACGTAGACGTGGTCCATGCTTTGTGCGTTTGTGTTTGTGTTTGTTTAAATAGCGTGTCTCTGTCTGTCCAGATAACAAAAATATTTATACATCGATTTTTTCTTAGTCTGCATATCTAGTAACAATCTTGAGTGTGACTATTCTGAATCCGTTAGGGAACCACTAAGTATGCAGTCTAATGGGAACATGTCGAAAAGTAAATAATGAAGTCAAAAAATACCGAAAATTATTATGTCTTCTGGACAAGGACGATTCTAATTACTTATAGTTTATTGTTGCTTTTTTATTGCTTCTAATCTAGACTTCTATCCAATAGTAATAGTGATGAGAATTAATTGATATAAATGACTTAAAAGAGTTGGACGAAGAACCATCATATAACTAAAATTCTATCGTTACGACTAAAGTTGCTACGTCTTCAACACGTATAACTCTCCCACAATATATAGCTATTTCATTGAACAGTTCATAGAAACTTAAATATTTACGAAGAGAAGATGAATATTTTCTTTTATAATGAATAAAATAAACTTCACTACTGAGTATTGAAAATGTATAGCTAATGGGTATTTTGTTTTGTGAAAATTTATGAGAAAGACTAAAACAAGGGAAAATCATTGCCATTGAACATCGTATAGATAATCTTGGCAAATGATACTATGATAATGTTATAAATGTTATAGGGCAGCTAGATGTTTTGTTACCTATAGTTGAGGAACGGAAAAATGACATATTATCGATCTTATTGATCGGTTATATTTAATCTTCTCTGTCATAGCGTTAACACTGGTTCATCCTATAAACTATGTTCTTTGCTATTAAGAATTCCCTAAAACATTAAACAATCGCTTTCATATGTATATAATGTTTCTAAAAATTTTTCTTCGAATACATATTTCCCTTTGAACATTTTTCGTATAAGTCAAAGATCCTCTAGAGATTCATACATTTTTTCATGATGAACTCATTGAGTCATAAAGAAGGTTGTACCTACGGACCTGATAATTCTGACGTAATGCGCTCCACAATACTCTGAGGTTGTGACAAGATTGCTATTAAATTTCTCCTAGTATCTTGCCACGATCACACGAATGTCTTTGAAAAGGTATTGCCACAAAATTCTAACATCCTAATAAGGTTGGAACCATGATTCTATCAGGATATGTCTAGGTTTAGGTGTTGTTTCAGTATTCAAAAGAGCCCATGCACTTATACCCAAAAGCTTTTGTTTTGACGAAAACGTTTATGGTAATTGTCGTTGCTGGCTTATGTAAAAAGTAGAATGAATCCTTATATGAAGATCCCAACCTATATCTGACGAAAAACTGACAAAATCTTGAGAAAGTCGACGTTCCTTTTCTTCTAATAGGTTCTCTGAAGTATCAGTACTCAATCCTAAAATCGCCCTATCTGAAGAGCTAGAAAAAGTCAGAGCAGGAACCTGAATAAATTCTATTATGAATCTGTCTAACTGAAATATTCCTAAGTAGTAACACGAATTGTCAGGAGTTAATGCAGAATCCTTTCGAAAACTTGAGAAGATCCTTGCTTGTAATTTTCGATTGTACAAGAAATTCAGAAGGTTTCTAGATAAATGGAGAAGGTTAAGAAAAGAGTCACTGTTACCAGATCATATTATTTTAATATCCAATCACATAATAATAGTAAATGACTGCTAACAGTTACTAAAGTCAAATGTTATGACACAATTAAGGAGCCCAAGGCTAAATGGTTGCAGATTAGTCTGGCTAGTCATGAAGATACTGTATAAAACAACACTGCGAATAACAATTTTGTATAATGGTGAAGAATTCCAGCTTCCAGATTGATTAAAGCCACGTTTGAGCTGGGAAAAATCAAGTAATAGGTCTCGCAGTGCCATGCTATGCCTTCTTGAAGGTATTAGCAGCATAAAGTCACCACTCCGAGATATCCAGGCAAGACTATGAGAAGCGATCCTACTACGCGATGACATTGCGGGGCCGAATTTTCCGACTGTTTAATAGGTGCTGATGAGTTCCCCACACTTCCTCATGGTGTCCACGCACCGTTATTCGTACTTCTTTATCATATCTCTGAAAGATTTGCAACCAAGCTATATACTTCATGAAGGCAGATGAGTACTACCGGTGTGCAGCCAACGTTGACATACATGCAATGCAACGGTGTAATATACTGCATGCACTGTTGTACAGGATCTCATTTATATACTGCTTGATGAGGCCAGGATATCTGCGTTATATAGTAGATGATTACATATGAATGACCCCCGTTACACGGCGCATGTAAAGTTATGGATACTTTTATAAAGGTTTATCCACTTTTATGAATTCTTAAGAAAAATTTGTTTTATAGGAAAATATTCGCTTCAATGTGAAATTTTTTAAAGTAAAGGCTTAAAGTATGCAGGCTTAAACTTTAACTCTTAAAGGTTAAAGTTATGTTTCAAACGTTAATGTTTAAAGCTTAGTACTATTTTAAACTTTAACCTTAACTTTCAAAGTTTTAAGG